GATGAAAGAATTAAGAACGCAACTTGAGGAGTTGGCAGAAAATGGATATATCCGGAATAGTACTTCCCCTTGGGGTGCACCGGTGCTATTTGTGAAGAAGCACGACGGATCTCTTCAGTTGTGCATTGACTACCGTCAATTGAACAGGGTGACTGTGAAGAATAAGTACCCACTACCGAGGATCGATGAATTGTTCGATCAGTTGGGTGGATCACAGTTCTACTCTAAGATTGATTTGAGATCTGGGTACCATCAGCTGAAAATCAAGGAGGAAGACATTCCGAAGACTGCTTTCAGAACTCGGTACGGGCACTTCGAGTTTCTGGTAATGCCGTTTGGATTGACGAATGCCCCGGCTGCCTTCATGGATCTAATGAACCGTGTTTTCCGGCCGTACTTGGATCGGTTCGTGATCGTCTTCATTGACGACATACTGGTTTACTCGAAGACTTGGGAAGAACATGCGCAACATTTAAGAATTGTTCTTCAGACTCTTCGAGAACACCAGTTGTATGCTAAGAAGGAGAAGTGTGACTTCTGGCTGACAGAAGTAAAGTTCCTTGGGCATGTGATTTCTGGACAAGGAATTTCTGTCGATCCTTCTAAGATCGAGACTGTGCTACAGTGGGAAATGTCGAAGAATGTAGCGGAGATTCATAATTTTCTCGGACTGGCAGGCTATTACCGGCGTTTTGTGAAGGACTTCTCGAGCATCACTACACCAATGACTCAGTTGATGAGGAAAGAGGTCAGATTCGAATGGAACGCCGAATGTGAAAGTGCTTTTCAGGAATTGAATGTCAGACTAACAAGTGCACCCATCTTGACTATTCCTGACAGTGAAGGGCTGTATGAGGTATATACTGACGCCTCGGGGAGTGGGCTGGGCTGTGTGTTGATGCAAGGTGGACGCATTGTAGCTTACGTATCCCGACAACTAAAGCCACATGAACAGAATTACCCCACTCATGATTTGGAGCTGGCAGCAGTGATATTTGCTCT